TTATTGATGAGGGAGAAAACTGTTTAAAAGGGGTATATGATTACGTATTATTGTCATGATGGGAGTCCAGAACGAAAGCTGCATAGGGGAGTGGACTTGCGGGGTGGGGATTCTATATCATTGAAAGAATTTTTCTTTTACTTTTCAAAGAGAAGAGCGAACTGAGGGGGAGGTTGGGCAGGGAGAAAAGGGCAACAATGAATGAATGGATATCCAAAGTCTCTGTAAATGTTCATTAAAATTAATTTTTAAAAAATCAGGTTTAAAAAAAAGAGAGAGTTTGCTTGTATAATGGCTTCAAAAATAAATTACTAGTGGAAGCTTGAAAAAGTATACAATGAGTATGAGATTAATACAAATTTGACTGATTCTTTTGGGCCATTCTCCAAGAAATGGAGATACTTCTTAGCACAAAGCCATCAGAATTGGATGCCAATGAATGTTGAATGTGATTTGTTTTGCTAAAATGATTAAATAATGTATCAAAACCTTGATTTATAATTTTATGTGTTGGAGTTAGACTGGATCAGGACGAGGAGGGGTTCAGAGCTGCTGTGCATAGGGTCTCTGCACATCACAAGTGACTCCATGGCATATACAAACAATATATAGCATGACAGGTTTGGAACAGGATTGCCATCCACTTCCTATGTGACATGCCTCTGGAAACCCTAAGAAATTTTATAAAATGTTGATAGTTACAGTGGGGCTTCAGGTTTTTTGTGTATTAAGCCACTATGAGTCATGCTCAACTCAAAGGCAATCAACAACAGCAACAAAAACCATATATAAATTAATCATACATAAATTGTCAAGCAAGAATTTTGCAAATAAATTATTCTAGGTAAGATGAATATTCATATATAAAAATTTATCCTTATTTTAGATAATAGATAAGTGAATTTCAGGTGAAACACAAAGCTAAATGACAAATGAGTAAAGAATGTTGAAAGTAACATAGGAGAATGTCTTTGTATTATTGTATTAGCTAAAAATATTTCTTCAGATTGATAGAAAGAAATGTACTTTTCATGAGATTAATCAAATGAGTCAACATAAATTGGACTTCATTTAAGGTAGAAATTTGAAATTCTTAAAAGACATCATTAAAAATGTGAAAAGGCAGCAATATAGATGATTGTATAAGCCCTGCATCTGGGAAACCTAGGGTCCTAGAAAAAGCATTCTCACAATTTGACAAGAGGAAGAAAAATAATACAGTTTTGAAGAAATAAGTACTCTCTTGTTGTTGTTGTTGTTAGGTGCTGTTGAGTACAACGCATAACAATTCTGTGAACAGCAAAGCTGGACCCTGTCCTATCTGTGCCATTCTCACAATCTCTGATACACTTGAGCCTACTGCTGCAGTACCTGTGTCAATCTACTTCAATGAAGGTCTTCCTCTCCTTCACCATCCCTCTACCTTTCCAGGAACTTTATTATCTCTCTCCAATGAACCGTTTCTCCTAGCAACATACTTAAAGTATGTGAGACAAAGTTTTATTATCAGATTTTGCCTTCCAGATGCTCTCTGGTTGCACGTTCTCTAAATCATATCCTTTTGCAGTCCATGGGGTAGTCAGCACTCTTGTCCTTCACCACAGTTCAAAGACATCAATTCTTCTGTCATCTTTATTCACTGTCCAACTCTCAGAAACATAACAAGTGATTGAGCAGACCTCAGCCTGAATAAGGTAAGTGTACCTTAGTCCTCAAACCAATATTATTGTTCCTCAATAATTTAAAGGGGCACCTGATTTCTGACTTTTCTAGTGCAATATGTCTCTTGATCTCTTGACTGCTGCTGGTGGTACCAAGTGTACCAGCACTTGCGGCTCCAAGTAAGAAGTCCTTGACAGTTTCAATCTTTTCTCCACCTCTCATGGTGTTGCATATCATTCCCACATGAAGATCTTTGCTCTCTTAACAATGAGATGCAATCCATAGTGGAGGTCACAGTCTTTGATTTTCTGCAACAAGTTTTTCCAGACTTCCTCACTTTCAGCAAGCAAGATTGTGTCATCTGCATAATGAAGGTTATTGTTTTCCTCCAATCCTAATGCTACATTCATCATAGAGTCAAACTTCTCAAATAATTTTCTCTGAATACAGATTGACTAGCTATGGAGAAAGCATACAACTCTAATGCACACCTTTCCTAATTTTAAACCATGCAGTGTCCCATTTGCTCTGCCTGCACAATGATCTCTTGGTCTAGGTATAAGTTTTGTATGAGATTAATTAAGTGTTCTAGGACTTCCATTCCTCTCAAAGTTACCTATAATTTGTTATGATCCATATAGCCAAATAAGTAAAAGAGGATATACAAATAGAAAATGGTCAAACAAAAGAATTCACAATATCATAAGTTATCAGTTCCTATTAGTGCTTGTGAAGCTGGTGGTAGTTGAAATTTTTGTACATAACTGGTACAAATGGAGAAAGTACACAATTTTGAAAAACTGATATTTTACTTTCTACTAAAGACACCATTCCTCTCACCTAGAAATTGCATGTTTAAAAAATATAATTGACATTAATATTTAATAATATGCACAAGAATATTCATGGTAGTTTTGTTCATAATAGTAAAAAAACTGGGTAAAACACAAATGCCTGCTCAAAATAGATAGATTTTTTATTTCTATATAATGGAATGCTATACATTTAAAAGTAACAAACTACAGGTATATACAGTGACATAAGTGATTCTCAAGGCATAATTTTAAGCAAAAAGTCCAATCATTAATTCATATGAAATTTATAAACTAAACAAATGTACAGTAGCTAAAAAAGAAAAATTAATTAGAGACTATACTGACCTGAGAGTCATGGGGCCTCCTCTGGCTTCTTGGTAGTGTTAAGATGTTAGTCTGAGTAGTTATTACATAGATTCAGAATGTCCCATAAACTGTACATGTCTCCTGTCAATTTTTTTGTAGGTCCCTATGTTTTTGTAAGTAATTTCAATAACCAAAAATTAGCATACCAGTGCCAACTGGCAGCCAATTCTTTAACAAGTCCATGAAATAAATACTGTACTAGCCATTTTCTAGACCACCATCTCCCTAGAATTGAGTCTAGCTAAAAGACCCCGATACCTCATTGGGTACTAGTGCAAGAGCTCCTTGAGAGATTCACTAAACCACATGAATGCAGGGAAGAGAATGGGTAGGGTTCCAAGAGGCATCCTAAAGCAGACAGAAGGTGTGAGCCTCAAAAATCAGGTGAGTCTCTGTCTGGACTCAGAGCACCCCAGTCAGATAGTGCTACCTTCAATTATCAGTACTGTTGTTGTTTGTTGTTAAGTAGGAACCAACCTATTGCTGACCCTCCAGTAGGTTTTCAGGCCTCGTCACAGGAAATATAGACATTTTCACATCAGATATTCTACAGTGCAGGATCCTGCTTGCCTGCAACTGTCTAGTTTTCTCTGCTAGTAAAATTTTGTCAAGTCATATGTGGAAAATTCTTTTACTTTTTATTTCTTTTGTATTTGAACATTGAGAGATTATATCAGTTTTTTAAGCACCTACAATGTAAGACGATTCTGACAGTAAACAGTAACAAAATACATTGAACATTGACAAAAAATAGAAAAAAAATATATAGGATATTGAGACTCTTCAATCACAAGAACTACAAATTGTGAAAGGGCTGGAAATTACAAAAGCCTTACTTTTATTAGCAAGAATGAAATGTTAATAAAATTTGTGAGACTATGAGCAAATACTTCTAGAAAATTATGTTTGGCCTTTGAAAATATAATTGACATGAAAAGGAATACACGCATTTGAGGGTGTCCTGAGCATCAATAATTCTTTAGCATGTTAATGAATTTTTGGTCGCTTTCTGTGGTACACATAAAGATATATGAGGAGGGAAATTTACTTAGAACAGTTCGTCATTTATAGGAAGACTGCATAATTACAATTCTGTTGTTGTTATGTACTGTCCAGTCAGAACTGATTCATTCATCACTGAATCTTCAGTGTTTTCAGAGGCAGAAAATTGTATAAGAGGAGACTGTACATCTTTCTCTCATGGGGTACCTGGCGGATTCAAACCCCAGACCTTTGGGTGGGCAGCACAACTCCATACCACTAAGTCACCAGAGCTCCCTAGATATGACAAACCCAGAAATATTATATTCTGTGCTATAGAATTATGATAAAATTTCTCCAAAATTTTATCTTTTTTTAAATTTCTAGGTCCTTTCTGTTTTAGCATATAATTGTCAATAAACATTTATGGATAAAAAGAATTAATTAAAATTAATGAAAGAAACCCACAAGTGTTTAACAATCCATACTTCTTGATGAATGGATATTGATCAGTTTGATAATACAGCCAACATAGTTTACTATCTGCAAAAGAAAAGAAAAGAAATCTTTTGTTCCACATAACCAAGGGAGCTCTGGTAGCCTAGTGGCAAGAAGCTGTACTGCAATATTGAAGGCATGCTGTTTGAGGCCACCAGCTGCTCTGCAGGAGAAGGATGGGCAATCTCTTTCTGTGCGATTAACTCCCTCTGAACACCCACCAGAGTGTCAGCTATGGATCAGTTCTGACTTTAAGGTACACAACAACAACAACTACCACTACATAATCAATTCCTGCTCTCTATATATTAATCAGGGGGAAAAAATATAATTCTAAGAAACCTTTACAAATAATCCACCCCAGATTTTAGGTATCCCAAATGGTCATAGTGCTTTATATGACATGAATCACTTTCTGTTCTTTGTGGTTCAGTGTCTAGAGAAATTAGGAAAGCCATAATACTAAAGAGATGAAGACCCTCAACAAAATGGGTTGGCACTGTGTTTGTAGCAATGGACTCAAGCATATCAGAGATTGTGAGGATGGCAAGGTTCAGATCTGTTGTTCATAGGGTCACTACGAGTCATTGTCCACTGCTGTTTTGAGTTACAGTAGTGATGAACAAAAGACAATCCCTTTCCCTTTAATAGAATGGTACCTTTTTGAGGCCACTTATGCTAGTCTTTTTTAAAAAAGATGCTTAAAACCCGCTCCCGAATCTGCTTTGTCCTGACCCCGTAGATCACTGGATTAAGGGCGGGTGGGACAACCACATATAGGTTGGCCAGGAGAATGTGAATGTATCTGGGAACATTTCTGCCAAATCTGTGGGTCATGAAGGAGAAGAAAGCTGGTGTGAAGAAGGCCAGGATTACACAGATGTGGGAGCCACATGTGTTAAGTGCTTTGAGTCTGGCATCTCGAGAAGGAAGGCAGAAGACAGCCCTGAGTATTCTCACATAGGAGACGGCAATCAGAATTACATCAACAAGTACCATTGATATAAGAACTAATCCGAATACCATGTTTGCCTTTATATTGGCACAGGCCAGACGCGCAATCCCCATGTGCTCACAATATGTGTGTGGGATTACATGGTGTCCACAGAAGGGAAGCCTCAAGATAAGAAAAACTAATGGAACAACCAAAATGAAATTGACACCAAACACCACCACCAGAATGAAGCCAATGGTCCTATTAGTGAGAATTAGACTGTACCTAAGAGGATTGCAGATAGCAACGTAGCGATCAAAGGCCATGGCAACCAACACAACAGTCTCCATAGCAGTGAATATGTGAATGAAGAACATCTGGGCGACACAGCCCCCAAAGCTAATCTCTCTTAAATTAAACCAGAAGATGCTCAACATCTTGGGGATGGTAGATGTGGACAGTCCCAGATCAATGGAGGCTAACATGGCCAAGAAGTAAAACATGGGCTGGTGAAGGCTATTTTCAGTCTGGATCACAAACAAGATAGTGATGTTTCCCACAAGGGCGATCAAATATACAGCGCAAAATGGAAACCCAATCCAGAGGTGCATCTCTTCAAGGCCTGGAATCCCCAGTAGAAGGAAAGAGGAGGGGTGGAACTTGGTATAATTTGAGTGTGACATATCTCTTTTCTTTTGAAATCTGAGAGAAAGAAAACAATGCAACAAACTATTTAAAAATTCAAATGTTATATAGTAAGGTTAAATACAATATATTTCTAGCAGAAATCATCAGGAAACCATAAAGGAGATTTTACATCAGTCTAATAGTAATTTAATTCTTCTGAGGTATAGCAAACAAATCAAAGCTTCTTATTTAATCTAAAAATTGCTTTGGGGTGAAACAAAGAGTATCTAAATAAAATAAGCACATTTAAATATGTACATTCATATATATTCTTTGTATGCTTTTGTATACCAAGTAGATATGAGCTAAAAGTACTTTAAAGTAAAATATAGTGTGAAAATTAAACAAGGGCTCTAAAGCTCATGTCTTTAAATATGATCAAGAAGGAATCCATTCTAACAAAGGGGTATTTAAACAGAAACATGAAATTAACATAATTTAACTTAGATTTATCAATGAAAATGAGATATATCTAAAAGAAATACACTTAGGGTTACAGTATAGACAGAATATTCTTTTTTAAATTTTTTTTATTAATTTTAATAGAGATTTTGGATTTCCATTCACTCCTTGCTGCACTTTTCTCCCTGCCCACCCCTCCCCACCAGTTCGCTCCTTTCTTTGAAAAGAAAAAGAAAACAAAAATTCCTTCATTGGTATATAATTCCCCCATTCCCCTCCTCCCCCGAGTACAAGTCTCTATGCAACATTAATTCTGGACTCCTGTGCTAAACCATAATACTCAATCATATATCGCCTCTAATCTGTTCTTTCCCTCATCGTTTCAATACAGTATACATAATTTATCTAGTTTTTTCTTAGTCTTACCCCAACCCTGATGTCAGACCCATTCTACAACAGTGACATCATGCAATATATTCTTTTATGAACTGAAAGTAGTAATAATCACTTTCTACTTAATAATGCTATGAAACATGGGCTTTAAGGGAAATCAATTCTTTCTCTCTGGGGAATCAGGAAACTGAATTGTGAGAAGAAAACGGACAGAATTGATGCCTTTGGCTTTCTGTTACCTGCTTCTTCTCCACTAAACAGCTGGGCTGGTAATTTAAAGGTTACCTTGCTGGTATATGCCGTGAGCTTCTAGATTGAGTGAGACTAGAGAAAGATTGTTCTAGTCCTCTGGGTAGATGACGAAATTACTCACTTCCAAAAGTTTTACCAAGGCTTTGACTGAAACTTCTAGAGACATTTATTCTAAAATGATTGTTAGGAACAAATGTCTAATATTGAATATATCCTTTGTTGCTTTTTAAATTTTTTTTAATTTTAGGAGCCCATGACGGAAGACTTTAGCCTTACCAAAAACATTCAAACACCTCCATTTTGCTTCTGCTGCATGGTAAATTCCTCTTTTTGTTACAGGTACAACTTTATCTTAACCCTTCTTATATCACCACATCTCAGATTCCCTGTCTCATTTCTGATTCATGTCTCTTTCAGATCTGTCTTACACAGTGTTACCTGCCTTAGTCATGATTAGACTACTGCATTATCTCTCCTTCTGACTTCATTCTCTTTGTTAGCCCTACAAAGGGAAGTTTATTATTGTATTGCAGCAGGCTTCCACTACTGGCCCATCACCCTTACAGCCATTAATCCCTGTGGTCTAGAAGGTTCCCTTCCTTAAAGAAGATGTTCAATCCTCCTGTGACTTTATTTCTGAACCATGGGATTTATGGCTGCCACCTTTCACTAATTTCTATTCTGACCATCCCCATAGACCTATTCCTGAGCTACACTTTAACCCATTAGAATTAAACTCTCAAAAAGATGTTAGTCTTGAGTTACAATTAGAAAACATAATTGGAATATTATGATAAAGTCTGTAGAGTTAATGAATCTAAAATGACAAGTGTAACAATAATGGCATACACAAACAGTATTGAAAAGTAGTTAGTGTCAGTGCTCCAAGGCTTTGGAGACACTTTCACTTTATTAACTAAGCAAAGTGGCCAACATCAGACATGTTTAGTCTTCTAGAACCTCCCAGTTCCCATTATATATTGCATTCTAAAACTACACATAGAGACTAGTATCCCCTTTTATAACATCTTAAAACAGTGCAGCCTGGTAGGAAGAGTCTTCCATGTTAGCAGTGAGAGCTCAGCTATTTCTCCTCACATAACTTTAGTTCAGACCAATTTAATTGACATTCCCTATGATTCAGACACCACTGATGAGTAGTTTTACCAAATCAGTAAAGTAGCAGTATTGGTGGAAACTCATATGTAGTTAACACATGCTAGCAAATGCAACATTGAAAACAGAGAAGCAGGAGAATAAGATAAGTAGAAGAAATACTTAAGCAATTACTGCCATATGTGATATGATGAACTGGTAACACTGTCTCAGGATTCTTCCAGTAGTGACTAGATTGACTCCTACAGACAATATTCATTGTATTCTCTAGGAGTCCAACTTCTACTCTGAATGTCAAATCTGTAAGGTATCTTAAAAATCGGCCCCTTTTTATTGAAGTAACCATTATTCTCTCAGGCTTTCATTAGAATTCCAGACATTTAAAATTTAGAATGCTGATAGCCTTATAACTAACCTCATCAGAAGTTAAACTAATGGATGATTAAAAAGGGACTGGTGAGGTTGTGGAGAAACCAGAATCCTTACCCACTGTTGGTAGGAGTGTAAAATGGTGTAACCACTATGGAAGGCAGTATGGCACTTTCTCGAAAAGTTGCAAATAGAAATACCATTTGACACAGCAATTCCACTACTGGGGAATATACCCCAAAGGAACCATAACTGCCACCCAAGTAGATATATGCACACTCATGTTTATTGCAGCTTTGTTCACAATAGCAAAGAGTTGGAAACAACCTAAATACCCATCAGCAAACGAATGGATGAAGAAGTTGTGATATATTCACACAATGGAATACCATGCTGCATTGAAAAACAAGGAACTCATGAAATATTATCCAAAATGGGTGACCCTGGAAGACATTATGCTGAGTGAAATATCTTAGTCACAAATGGACAAATATTGCATAGTACCACTATTATAAATGGGACTGACATTGGGGTTGGGAGGAGACTGAGAAAGATAGGATAAATTATGTATACTGCATTGAAACAGATGAGGGAGAGAACTTTTTTAAAAATTTTTTTACTTTATTATTTTTGTGTGTGAGTGTACCGTCAAATCAGATCTGACTGGTACAGGAGGAGATTGTCCCTCCTTCCCTGGCAGAGCATCTGGTGGATTCAAACCGTGAGCCTCTGGAATTGTAGTTGCAGCTCCTTGCCACTAGGCCACCAGAGCTCCCCTGGGAGAGAACTTTTTAAAAGGGATATGTGATTAGGTATTTTTGTCATGACAGGAGTCCAGAACAAAGGCTGCATAGTGGAGTGGACTTGGGGGGAGGGATTTTATACCAATGAGATAATTTTTCTTTTACTTTTCAAAGAGAAGAGTGAACTAGCAGGAAGTTTGGGCTGGGAGACAAGTGCAACAATGAATGAATCAAAATCCAAAGTCTCTGTAAGTTTTCATTAAAATTAATAATAATTTTAAAAAGGGACTGGTCACCAATTCCAAGACATAAAATAGAATGAATAATTTTATTCTGGGTGTGGGTATCATTGAGCAGTTAGGTCAATCACACATTTAGGGACAGCAAGTAGAGCCAGCACATATAATTTGCCTTTCTGTTAACCTTTCCAGATGTTTCTTAGTCCCTGTTTCTGTGGATACCATCTGTCCTTCTCTCTAACACATACATAGTGCCATCAAGTCAGAATTGACTCATGACTGGCTTTCCATTGGGTGTTTGAGGAGGTAAACTTCACAGAAGGAGATTGCCTATTTTTCTCCCAAAGAGCAGCTAGTGGATTTGGATCATCGGAGCAGCACAGCCTGTGGGTTATCAGTACAACTCCTCATGATGATGACTGATCCCCAATGTACACGATGCAAGATTTCCTAATAAAGAGATATTGTCCTAATGCTTGAATTGGTATGCAGTGTTATACACACTTGGAATTTAGTATTTCTGACAGGGCTTCCAAGTCATCAGATGACTTTAGATTACCAGAGGCTTATGATTTTCCCAGGGTCACATCTGTGGAAAATGACCCTGATTTCACAGAGAAGGGTACAATTCTGAAATACTCATGGTACGCTAGGGTTTATTATTCATAAATCATAACTTGTAATACAATACATAGCATGAGGGTTTTTCCTTTAATTGGGAAAGCCCACCTGCTAGCACAGTGATCTCACTTGGTCCTTCCTGCAGTAATTAACTTCAGAAAGGGACATTGATGATGAGAAATAATGTCCCATGTACTATAAAATTCAACTGTCTCCTTTTCATACCCACTTAATGCAGTTGAATAGTGTCCCAGCAACAATGGGCCATCTAAAAATGAAGTTTCTAAGCTCAGGAGGAAAATTATGAAATTATGTTTTCATATTGCTATGTGGTATAGATTGTATTGTGTCCCTCTAAATTATGGACACAAAACTGTTGTTGAGAATTTACTTAGAGTGTTAAAGTCCAAAAACATGTGAATTTAAAGACTAAGGTATGTTTGATATAAACCATGATATTTTAAATTGCTCCCTAAGGATCTGAAAAACAAGATGGAAGAAGAATTGATGGTTTGAATTGTGGTGTTGGTGAAAAGATTGGATATACCATGGACAGAAAAAAGAACAAAACAAATCTGTTTTGGAGGAAGTGTAACCAGAATGCTTCTTAAAGGCAAGGACAATGAAACTTGGTCTCACATACTTAGGGAACTTCATTAGGAGAACATCATCAGTAAAAGAGAGGAAAACCCTCCATAAGTTGTATTGGCAGTGACTGCAACAATGGGCTTGAACATGACAGAGATCTCAAGGATGGGGCAGGAGAAGGTAAGGCTCAGATCTGTTGCTTGAAAGGTTGCTAAGAGTCATAGTTCAGTAGCACCCAACAAAAACAAAGTCAGAAATTTGTGGTGTTTCTGT